TTGCATTATTCACGTTTAGATGCCAGACTGCAGAAGATACATGAAATTTATTTCAAAATTACTTGTATTCAACGTAAGACAGTATCAATAATGATGATATGTAGCCGTGGAATTAATTTGAGAACTGTTTACCGAGGCTTGAATCTACATGGCCAAAGTGTTTGCTTTTACTTGTACATGTATTCATAATTGAAAGGTCGTTCTTGTGTGACCCCGAATGGGATGTTAGATGTTTCAGAAGCGGTAGCGGATTTGGAACATTTAAATAAATCTTAATAAGATTGAAATGCATGTTTCAAAATTTAAACATCTTCAGTTTGAAAGACAGGAAGTGCATTTTTAAAAATTCTCTCTTGATGGCATCCAATTGTTCTCTGGATAAAAAAATTTTGTTGATGTTGAAAATTTCATTGTCTTTTATTTTCTATTGAATCTGAAATTAGGTAATTGTAAAGCCTACTATTACAAACAACTAAAAAATTGACAAGTTAAATTCTTTAGATTAATGGATTTGGAGAAGTGTAGATCTACAGCTGGCTAGTCAGAGAAAAAAAGATGGCTGAGGAGAGACTTTGTAAATGAATTGATATCAGAGAGATTCAGTTGTGTAGACTCATCGCGGCAATATAATTAACTTGTTAACGAGGGATGCTTACTATTTCTAGGCAACGGATCCCACCTCTTGAACTTTCAGGAGTCAGCTTTTCTTCTAAAATCGATCATTGATCATTCTGTATTTTGATACAGATACTGAATACTTCCTTTAGTAATATTATAAACTACTACTTCTACGGGAAGACTGGCGAGTAAACAAGATTATCAAGCTTTATGAAATATATTTTATTGACTTTTCAAACAAGTAAATGTTCGAATAAAGTAAATGGTATATGAGAATCATTTGAAAGAAGTTTTGCACAAGATAAGGCACAATATCTAGATAAGGACATATAAGGTGCTTTTATCATATACTCTTCATGCAATATTGTTCTCAAATAAAACATGAAAAGGAAAGTTGTGTAATCAATCAATACTAGTATTTAAAAATTCAAATGTACATTAAAAATCAGTGTAACTTAAGAAGCTACCAGTGTCACTTTCTTCAATATGTCGGTTAAACAATATACACTGATTTGTTTTCTATCAATGTGCCTCTAAACACCTGTATTTTAATTTTATTCTTCTCAAACGTTTAAAACAATAATCGACAAATTGGACAAATTCAAATTATAAAAGTATTTTCACAGCTAATACGTTCCCTAGGAATTGATCAAATTTTCAAAACTTATAAATAAGCATTAAGTATATATTTTAAATTTTTGCTAATTGCCAAAATTTTTCATACCTCATTCTTCTGTGAAAATAATATCGGTTGATTTTTAGAAGAGGATCACAATGCTGATTAAAATTAATATATATTTCTCCATTTTTTTTTTCAAAATTGATTTTACTACTTTAAGTGCTCCATTATTTTTTTTACAAAACTAATAGTAAGTAATCCCTTATGATCGATTGTTATAAATTATCAAAGACGGAGTAGCGAATTTATCCCTGGGAGCAGAGCTTTTATAATCTGTTTATTAGACAGAGAAGAAAAGAGAAGAAAAACAAACGTTTCATACTGGAGGTTTCCATAAAACGTTACAAAAAGTGTAAAACTTACAGATGCGTTCGGTGTTTTTATAAAAGCGCTTTTCAAGTATTAACTTAATTAAATAAATGGTGTTTCTTAATACTTTGGCAAGGAAAATCAAACTCGATCGAGAGATTTGCTGATGTTTTTGCAGCCTGTAATAACCTCCAACCTGCTGTATAATAAACTTTCAAAAATAAACTAACAGTTGCCAGAAATCGCGATCGCGCGATACACATGTAAAAAGGACCAAATTCTCAGTTCTTAAAAGTAAGTGTTGTAAGTATTGTCAATGCTTTGGCAAATATACTAATAAGAATTCGATATAATCGTTATAATAGCCACTCTTCATACACAGCACTTACTTCGTTAGTACGAAGTGATATAGTAGGGACTGGCTTTAGTCAGACTTCACAGCATATTGTCAATCTCTTACCAGGGGGCGTATTACGCCGACAGTATACAAATCATTTGCTGAAGTTACCGTTGTCGATAGGTAGGTCCTTGTGGAAGTTTCCGGTTTTGGTTGCAGAAGGATAAGGTTACGAGCGATAAAGCGATGCCGATAGGTAGCGCCTTATGGAGGTTTCCGGTTGCCGACACATGCCATATAGCGGCTAGCGAAGCTAACCGCTTAATAATATATAACGTGTAACTGCATGTGGACTTTTTTTTTACTTGAAATAAAACATATATATATGGTTCAAGCACTTGTTAATATAAAATTTTAAATTATTGATAAATTTTGCTTCCTTCTTAGTCTAATGATGTATTTACATTGTTTACCAGCTGCAAATATGCACGAGCGTACTATGCATGTATAATTTCAATATGTGCAGTATTTTCTAATTTTTATATCTTACTCTTATTTTCAGTCCTTATTTATCTAGATACAATATATCTATCAAAATTGATGATGTTACATGTAAAGGCTCGTTTATGTACGGGTCGAAATAAAGTCACTGTACTGTTGTGTTGTATTGCGAATGTCTTAAAACATAGGATAAAACAGCGACTTAGAGTATTTAGTAATCCATTCCGAGGTGTCTGATTTTATTGTTCAGTTATACATGTAACTACAACCGGAATCTTGTGTATCCTTTCTACGTACAAACAGTTATTGAGGTAATTTTCGCGGAAGAAATGAGTGGTTTGCAATAAAGATGTCGAAAATGATTTAACTGGAAAGAAAGATTCTCTGAAAGCAAACGATGTCAATTTTAAGTAAGTAAATTATTCAGTAAGATATTAATAAAATGTGAAATGAGTGTTGGTAACGGGAGGGGGGGGTGTTACCCCCCCCCTCCACTTTTTTTTTTTTTTTTTTTTTGGCAAAGATATATATTATATGGGCATTAACCTTTATGTTGGTGAACCCCCCTCTTAATATCCTTCCGATGCGTACACCTTTGTATGAGCTTGAAGCGAAGCCTGTGGTGCTTGAACAATATAAATTTCATAAAAAGTAAATTATTTTAGACAATATAATCATTCTGAAAGTTTTGTTTCGTTTCGTTTCGGCAGGTTTCGTTTAGATTTTGTTTCGTTTCGTCTTGATTTCGTTTCGTTTCGTTTTGGTAGATTTCGTTTCGTTTCGGCAGATTTCGTTTCGTTTCAGTTCGTTTCGTTTCGTTTCGTTTCTATTTCGTTTCGCACTTTACAGGTACCCATAAATATTTGTATTTGTAAAAAAAATAATAATCTTACACTTTTTTGAATAAAGCCGAGAAAGGATTTTAGTTTTAAAAAATGAATCTAGTGATACAGTTTGTTGGAGATAGCTGAAAATTTTTGCAAACACCTTAATTATGCAAAAAAAAAAAGAGTTAAAAATATGTATGAAATATATACACTGATATAGGTAAAGTAAAACATCTGGTATATTACACCCCCCCCCCCCACTTCCCCTATATTTATTGTACATGTACTTGCAAAGTCAAGTACGGAAGCCCGTTGGTGACACGTATGAAAAATATTTCATCTGGCGGCCGCCACTTATTAATTGGCGGCCTCCACATATATATCTGGCGGCCGCTATTTATTATTTGGCGGCCGCCACATATATATCTGGCGGCCGCTACTTATTATTTGGCGGCCGCCACATATATATAACATTGTTGAATGTACTATTTATCACTGTGTATTATATATGTATTTTTATAGAGGGCCTCAAGGAAGAATAGTGCTCGCACTAATTGAGTCACCCTCTTTAAATAAAGTATTATTATTATTTATTATTATTATTATTATTATTATTATATCTAGCGGCCGCCACTTATGTATCTGGCGGCCGCCATTTATTATTTGGCGGCCGCCACTTAATTTATATGGCGGCCGCCACATAAATTATTTTGCAAAAGGTGAGTGTTATTGGGTTAAGAAGATAGATGTTGACACAACCGCTGCTTATTGATAAAAAAGTAAATGATAAAAAACGAATTCTGAAATATTTGAACACCATTCTTGGAAATCCAAAATGCAAAACTTCATTTAATTCTCAACCAATCATAGCTTACAGCAAACACCATGATTTATGTCTGTAAACCCTGATGAGGCTTCTTAATAATCGAAACACTCTACAAATACTTGCATAATTCAAATCAAATATTAATCTGCTATATGCAAAAACATATCTATTAGAAGTGTGGATTGGAGTGTTGGTCCATAATAAATCTCTTACAAGTTTGGTTGATTGATGTTGCTATTTTAATTTTTACACGTACTGTATCCACCTCTTAAACCACACATTTAAACAGGCGCGATTCAGGAAGCCAGGTGTTATCTGGCGGCCGCCATATAAATTATGTGGCGGCCGCCAAATATCATGTAGCGGCCCCAGATATATAAGTGGCGGCCGCCAGATAAATCATGAGGCGGTCGCCAAATAATAAGTGGCGGCCGCCAGAAAAATATGTGGCGGCCGCCAGAAAAACTATTTGGCGGCCGCCATATAAATTATGTGGCGGCCGCCATATATTAAGCGGCGGCCGCCAGATATATAAATGGCGGCCGCCAAATAATAAGTGGCGACCGCCAGATATACAAGTGGCGGCCGCCAGATATACAAGTGGCGGCCGCCAAATAATAAGTGGCGGCCACCAGATAAAATATTTTTCGTATGTGGCACCAATGGGCTTCCGTAGTCAAGCATAATTACAAATCAAAGTTTTTCACTCCTCAGAAAACTCTAAACTATTAGTAAGACAAGTGAAACAAAATGAAGTCACGGTCTTTCTAATGATTGAAGGCAATACTTGGCAAAAGCAGCTCATTCTATTCGTTATTCGGATTTTTAAAGGTTGTTTTTGGTGTCTAAAATTATGTTCACCGGAAGTTTACTAATCGTCATGAAAATATGAACACGTCAAACCAGCTGCCTGAGCTGGAGAAAAGAGACTGATGTTAGACTAACTGGGGATCAGAATGCAGCCAAATACACGTGATGGCCAACAAAAGGGCGGCATTGTCGATACCTGGTGGTATAGATATCTCCTACGGGGCGTCGGGACGCTGGGGGGATTGTGTAAGTTACGATGTTAAATGGACATATTAGATGTCTCATAATAATCAAAGTGTACATGTGAACCATTAAAAAATGAAACACTACAGAATTACGTAAACACCCAAATTTGCATAAAAATTGCCAATTTTTTTTCTTTTGCCTGCCAGAATAGGATTTGCAGACCCCCCCCCCCCCCACCTCAATGTTTCTCAATCTAATTGACTATGTGTCTATCGTTTCCAAAGAAAACATCAACCTAAGATAACAAGAAATCATTCTTGATCAGTTCAAGTGTAAAAAGGGACAGGAGAAAATGTATGGTTGGGCTGGAAATTGAACACAGGAAAGGGGTAGAAACTCCCAAAAATTACAACTTGCAAACAATTGTGAGTACCAGCATAATGAACTTGCATTTTCAAAAGACAACTCGCAATTTTAAAATGAAAGCTTTTAAAAAAAATAAATAGCTGTCTATCCATCATTTTAAGAAATTGAAATTTTCTACATGATCATGGGACATGGCACATGTTCGTTTATTTAATTTAAAACATGAAAGATTAAGAAACAGTAACTAGAGAGAGGAAGACGAAATCCGGGTAGAAGCAGATATTTTTTTGGGGATTAAAATTTCTTATGAAAAAGTCCACTTACAAATTTTTTACAAAATATTTAACTTGCATTTTGTGAGTTGTATGTAGTGAATCCTGCAGAACTCCTGCTTCTCTACTCTCTAGTCACATGCTCTACATACTGAGCTACCAAGGCTGATATCCATGACCCAAACCACTACATTCTTTCCTCCTATAGTCATTTTCACCCTTATAGACACAACCCAAATTCTTATTTGCCCCCTGGCAGGACTTTCAAATTTAAAGTCAAAGCTTGATGAAAGGTTCAAAATCTGTAACTGAAAAGGAGAAATTGTATGGCTGGACCAGGAATTAAGCCCAAGGCCCCTGCCTCTAATCAGGTGCTCTACCGACTGAGCTATCCAGGTTGATATCCATGGCCCATGCTATTACAGAAAGATAAAAGTTGGATAGCTAAAGCTAGATTAATGATTTTTTTCTTTTTCTTACAGTGGCCATATTGTTTGGTTTGGTGGCTTGTATCACTTTCACAGCAATGTGCTTACTAGCAGGGGTACTTCAAATGTAAGTGTACCATCTCAAAAAGGTTTTAATCTTGCAATCTCTTTCACAAAATTAATTGAATGATTATGCATTGTGTAAATGGACTGTGGGTTAAGAGGCCATAGATTTACTACTTTCACAACCAAACTTTTCCCTCAAACAATTAGTTAAAGCCTTCCTCAGTCCTAGGCATGAAATTGAAATGAAGATGAGCAAAAATTTACCATTTATTGTTGACTGTTTGGATGAAAGACAATTAATTGGTTTTGTTGTAGAAGAAGTAAAAAAAAATATGTTTGGAACATAATATTGTTTATTTAATCTGGAAAGACAAAATCAAGAAACAGCAACCTATTTTAGTGCACAATTTTTTTTTTTCAATGGGTGGCATTGAACCTCTCCGGTTTCCATCAAAACTAGTCAGACCAGTGAGCTACACATCTTCAGCTATCGAGTTCAAGTGCTAACTAATACAAATTAATTTGTTCAAACCAGTTAAATTTTTAGACATTGATATAAAATTATCATTTTATCATTAATATTATTTACTTATTTACTCTTGATAATTAAATCTTTACATATATATAGTTTTAATTATCAGAAAGATTTAATAAATGGTGTATGCATGTGAATAATTTAATTTCACTTGTATCAAGCAGTTTCATTGGCTGAATCATTCAGAGGAACATATACTATTTTGGATAACATAACTTGCCTACGTCACAATGAATAACGTCAAAAACGTATTACTCCGCTTGACGTTACTTTTAAAATAATGCTCAATTTGAAGTCTTTTTCCGGTGGAAATATTGTCTCATTGTCTACACTGGAATTAAATTATAAGGAATGAATCTAATTTCAACTTATGTTATCCGATATAACAAAACTTGGGGCAGTTTACGCTTTTTTGTAAACCACTTCGCGGTTTATAAAGCGTAAACTGCCCCAAGTTATGTTATATCGGATAATATAAGTTGAAATAAGCTTCATTCCTTAAATAAACAAGTGAAGTGAAACAATGAAATATATAACAGTAAGTTTATTTATAAAATATATAACAGTAAGTCTATTATGTTTGCAGGGTAGCTGGTTTTATAGTGGTACTACTTGAGGCTCCATGCTGTTGCCAGTTTGTGGAATTTGCAGATAAAATCAGCTCATTTTCAGATAAACGACCTGCCTGGCAAAAAGCTGTTTTATATTGTCTGTAAGTGATAAAAAATTTTACTCTGAAAATGCAGCTTGATTTAATCTTAATATCTTTAATTAGTGTACTATAAAACATTTGTTGAAATTGGTTGAAATTTCTACATTTATTTAACATCATAGAAAAAACCAACGAGGGAGAGCGATAAAAATTAAACAAACAAAATTCTCAAACATGTATTTGTAATTATGTAGACTTATTTTCAGTCCCATTAAATGATAGGTTGATTAGACTTGATCAGCTAAAACACATCTCCTAGAAGGCCCATAAATTGTGTTTCACTACAGAATACAATTCTTATACGCTAAAAGTAAAAGCAATACAGCATCCAATAGAAACTTTTGATTTGTTTTTTTTTTTCAAGTGTCAAATTTTCTGAAATCCTCATGTGCCAGTGACATTGTATGCAGTATTAACTTTGGACAGCCTTATAGATTAATTTAGAGTTTGAACTAAATACTGACTATCTGTTTGACAGACTAGGTCTGGTGCCTATAGCATCATGTATAGAAGCCTGGACAATCTTAGGGGCTGGTCTTGTCTTTATATCAGGAGCTCTGTACGGATTGAAAGCAATCGGCAAAAAGTATGTACATGGTTCTCAATACATTTCTGTTTCTTTTCATTGACCATTCGTTTAGTATGTAAAAGATTTTATATGTTAAATATGATAGCTTTTGGGGAGTTACAGAGTCAGGTTGTAAGTAATAGTATCATCTATTTACAAAGCCCACATTTGGTGATGAAAGGGAGGTCAAACTTATAAAATTTCTCTCATTTGATTTTTGTTTCTCAGGGGTGACAGGGAATCTATGATGGCGGTAGCGAGTGGAGCAGACATGGAGATGAAGGTCAAATTAATAGACAAAGAAGAGAATTCAAAATTACCCAACTCCGCAGTCCCGTGACAAAATGTCTCATTACTAAAATTTCCATGACAATATGCATGTATGGGCATTCAGATTTCAGGATGAGGGATCATCCCCTCAATGGAAATAATTCTGGATTCCAGCCAAAATCAGCATCCACACAGAGGATCAGAAGGGACACATACCATTGTTCATTGGAAACTTTCATATATCAATCATTACTTATAAGAAATATTCATATACATGCATATCATTATTCATTGATAATCCATATAAAGGGAGATAAATA